TTGAAACCATTCTGGTGAATAATGTCGCTAAAATCATTAAAGTACCGAATGTCGGGAGGTATCTTTATATGGGGGCTGTGTGAAAACATGGACAGACATGGCCCATCTACGAACTTAATCTGCCTACTGGCAAAATGCACATGTCTGCATAATTTTAGTTAGTAAGATAGCATGATTACAAGATAAAAATCGTCTTCATATCGTCTCTCTTTAAGTGGTTCTGTAAAATAAACTGCATGGAATATCATAACGGGGATTTAGATTTTTTTTTTTAAAAGAATTATTGTTTTATTTACTCATAATTTAGTTGAACCACGCATTGCTCATATCCAGCAAACTTTCGTGGTCAATGACCACGTCCAATTATGTGGACTGTTGCCTCAAAGCCTTTCTTGTTGTCCGAAGTGTATTCTACCACACGTTTGGTGCCATCGGCATCTTTAAAGGCATAGACTCCTAAAAAAATAAAGTCATTATAATCTATCCATAAATGAATATGAACATTTAACTTACCCTTAACGCGGTCACCATCTCGAATTTCCCAATGATCTTTCATGTCACCAGTCGTTGAACCTTTCACACCATATTTATAAGCATACTTTGCATCATCAACATCATCCTTCTCTTGGCTATGGTGCTCTTGTCCATTATCAAGATCAGTATTGCCATAAAATTTTACATGATCTTCTGCACCTGTGTTGATGTCGTTATTGTCATAGCTTCCTTCCTGATACGCCTCGTTAGTTGCTTGCGAACTCCCAGCGTGTGCTACCGTAAAACTAATTTTCTTGAATTTACCCAAATCATTGCCATACACATTCTTTCCGATTAATATAACTGCAAGCGAAAATGCTAAAGCAATACTTTTCTGTGCGTTCGACATATTTGGCAATTCAATTTTGGGTTTTTAGCTATTGCTGCTTTTCTTTGTTTTCCGTAGGCATTTATAGCGAATGACTGTAGTTATTGACCCCTCTATTTCTATAAAAAGTGAATGTGTGCCAGTTCAAGGAGATATAATTCAAAAAAGTAATTACGACCTAAAGTGCACTGTGCCATACAAAAGTAATTATAGGAAACATATTTGACTTTGAACGGAAACGTGTCGAAAACATAATTTTCTCTAGTTATATATAAAATGTGTACCTATTAAAAAACAGTAAGGAAAACTCAAAATTCGGCCGGGGGCCGACTATATGATATCCTTCAACACTATGCATATTTACTAGAGCTCCCGTAACAAAATAATTTTTTTGAAGTAGATCATAACACCTAACAACATTGGGCTTGAAATCGTCTTAAGGATATATACAGGAGCTATATCAAAACTGTAGCCGATATCGATAAAATTTGGCAAAAAAAATATCTTATACCAAATATCATTGTATATTACGAATGTGAGGGACTTAAACACCAAATCGGATGAAACATATACAGGGTGAGATAAAAAAAACTGCAACAAAGTCAAAGGCCATAATTTTTACATTTTTTTTTTTTAATTTTATTGAATGAAAGCAGAACATGTCGAAAATTGCATCAAATTTTAGAAAAAGTTCAGATTTGTTCGAATTGGTCACCTTTGGTACGAATTATGGTCTTCAAACGGCCAATGAAAACGTCACACGCTGCCTGAATGTTGCTCTGCGGTATTTTGGTCCATTCCCGGCGAAGCGCTTGCATGAGGTAATCGACACGTTGGTATTTTTAGCGCCAACCTTGCTTTCCAAAATATTTTAGACACAATAATCCAACGGATTGGTATCCGGATATTTTGGTGGCCATTGTGCGCTGGAAATGAAGCGAGGAACCTCATTTTGCAATCATTCTTGGGTGGCGCGTGCTGAGGGCGATGGTGCTAAGTCCTGTTGGAATGTCCAATGGCTTTAATACACCCTCCAGAATGTTTTCGCGATAATATACGGCATTTATTCTGATGACACGGTCGATTAATACGAGCGGGGAGTGACCACACGGCTCACACCATGGCCGGCGCTTGAGTTCTGGTGGTCAACCGAAAGTGCATATTTTCAGCTGACCTCTTTTGCAAGTAAACACGATCATTTTGTTTGTTTACAAACTGCTGGACAACGAATGTTTTCTCATCGGAGAAAACCAAATTCGGCAGTTTACCACTTTCGGCCAAGCGAGGTAACTCTTTAGCTCTTTTGAGCCTTTTTTTCTGTGGCGGTATAAGTTCTTGCACATTCCTTTCAATGACTTTGCCCCGAACTCATTTTTGAATTTTTGCCGAATGGAATATAGCGATATGCTCAGCTCACGAGCCATTTTTCGACCAATGCGACTCGGGTTTCGATCAAGTCGCTTCTTTATTTTTCGAACCATTTCTGCTGATGTTGTTTTTTTCTTTCGTCCACTTCCTTGACGGCGGGCTACGCTACCAGTATCACGGTAACGAGCGATGGTACGAGACAAAATAGATTTATTCACATTTAATGGTTGGAGTGCTCTAACGATAGCTACTTGTGGTTTTCCAGCTAAATATAAAGAAATCACACTATCACGCTTGAATTCCATCACGAATATCTCTTTGTTCTGGAAAATTCTCATCAAAATGCTTTTGTACTCTTGTAAACAATATAATGAACTGTTACTGGAATAATTTTAACAGCTGTCGGATGTGTCGCTTAGAAATGACAGCAGTCTGAAGTTAGTTGCAGCTTTTTCATCTCACCCTGTATATGGGATCTATAGCCATATCTGAGCCGATTTTCAACAAATTTAATGTACTTGCTTTTAGACTTAATTTGGTTGGATGTGTCAAAATTCAAGTGATTTGGACTTATATTGGCCATTTGGTGCACAATTAACCCAAAATCGGTGGAAGATATATGGGAGCTATAACTAAATCTGATCCGATTGTCACCAATTTTAACAGGGTTCGTTCTTTGGGCCAAACAAATATCGTTTGCAAAATTTCATCTCAAACGGATAATAAATGCAACCTTGTTCACAAAAATACATGGACGGACTGACATGCTTAAATCGACTTAGAAAGTGGTTCTATGAAGATCCTCAAAGTAACTATGCGTCTATCTCGTTTCTTTCTCCATGCACAAAGACAGAATACCCTTACCACTATGTTTTGTAGGGTATAACAATTTTAACCCATTTCGTTTCAAAGTTTAATTTTTTTTTAGCTAGTTAAGTGGCCTACCTGTATGGATAATAATGTCAGTATTGAAAAACACAAACATAGCAAATTTATTTGGCATGTTAAGTCAAGCGAATAAAAATACATGAAAATCGATTGGTTGCAATGCACTACATTGATTTTATTGTACCATGGTAATACTCAAATCTTAAATTAAATGAAAATTATTTTTCTTCAGCAAAAACCCCTGTTAAGGTTAAATATGTAACCCTGGGAAATTTTATAATTATGATGTTTTATAATTATACCTTTTACATGATCGCATTGTCAAAATGTATGTACATAAACCCATTGTATATTCACAACTGAGAGATGGGAAGAAGAAAATCTGGTTATTAATATTTGAAATGAGTTTACATGGACTTTATTGTACCATATCTTAAACATGTTGGCTTATAGTAAGTCGGTTTAATATAATCGCGTTTTTTCTACAACGCACATTGTCAACACAGTTTTTAATAACTCTCCCATATGCTCCCACTAGAGCTGGCAAACTATCGATAGTCGCACCATTCGATATTTTCGATAGTTTGTTGGAAAACTATCGATAGTATCGAATAATGTGGGAATGCCAATATTAATTTTTCAACAATGCGCGCAACTTTTTTTTCATTGTTCTATGTTATTAATTTGTGTGTTATAATTATTTTTGTATTATGTTTTTTGTTAAACTTTTGCGATTTTTATTAAAAATAAAAATAACTACTAACAAAACTCATCACAAATGTAATAACCATTCAAGTCAATATCAATAAACAACACCGATATGTACTTACATGTATTTTTAATAACGGACTCAATTATATTAAATGATCTAATGATTAATATTTTTTATTAACAAACGCTTAAACAAAACAAATTGACATAAAAACAAAAAATATTTGGAATTCATTATTACAGTTATTATATTTTATTAAAATATGTACATATAGTAAATATTAATTATAAACTATATTTATAGTCAAAAATAACAGACAATAACGCTTAAACAAAACAACAACATAAAAACAAAAATCTTTGGAATTCATTTTTATAAGGCACTTTGAGATCAACTTTTACAAAAAATGTATTTGCATGTAGTAAAAATTAATTAAAAATTATATTTATATTAAAAATTAAAAAAAAAAACAGATAATAACGATTCAACAAAACAACTTAACATAAAAACAAAAAATATTTGAAATTCATTATTACAGATACATTCAGATCTTATTTTATAAAAATATTCAATCAAATTAATTTAAATTTAAAATTATAATGAAAATTACCTTAAAAAAGGTATTATTTGTTTAAAAACCTTACTTCTTATAATTCTTTACTGACCCAACATGACCGAAATTATGGCTCCGGTTTTGCTAAACATTCGCTCAGCCTCTGTCGAAGTTGCTGGTACGCATAAATAGTGTAAGGCACAAACAGTGTTCTGTTTTTTACATATATTTATGACAAATCAAAGTTGATAAATTAACAACGCCGTTTATATAGAAGATATCTAAGTCGTTTAATTAAAAAAGTTGCGCCTCTAACTGAATAAATGCCGGAATCCGTTTTTTCAACGATAGTATCGCTATCGAAAAAAAACCATCGATAGTCTAGTGAAAACCAAACCATCGATACTATCGATATTACTATCGATAGTTTGCCACCTCTAGCTCCCACGACGCCAAAATAGACAGAGAGCAAACAAACACACAAATAATGAGAGAATCATTGAGTGGAGAAACACAAAATGTGGGAATAACAAAACAAAGAACAAGAGAGAAACAACTAATGGAGGCATTATTCTACAAGAGTTTCGTATCCAAAATGAACATAAAACAACGAAAACAAAAAACACCATATCGCCCAGTATGATTCAGTTGTGTTGTGAAACTCTTGGGGTTTGTGTTGTGCCTACAAATTTTAGTTCAACATTTTTGTATTTGTTTGAAGACGGTAATACGCCGAATGAAATCAGCTGTGGCTTTTAAAAATACCAATAAAATTAAAACCCCCCTCAAAAATATTCTACCAACTGGTGAGTGAGTTCGATAATAAATTAATGGAAAAATTTAATTATAGAGCCAAATTGTTGAAGAATTTCGTGAAAACCAAATAATGATATCATCCCATTGAGAAAGTGATTCTTATTTTGAATTGTTGTTATTGTCGCTCTTCTGCTTTACCTAGTAATAAAAAGGGGAGTATTAAAGGGAACCTGTTTTTTGGAGAATTGTTTCAATTTATATTCCAACAATAACAACAGCGAATCATCATTTTAGTGCTGTCAATGTTTGTGTTTATAAATAAAGACCGGCATATTATACTATCCAGAGATGGATGTTGTGATAGCGTATAATTTGTATTAAAAAATAAATAAGAAAAACATGTTGGAGCAAAGCACAGTCAAAGGTGTCAAGGAAAACTTTGCCCAGAAATTACTAGAACTTAAATATACATACATAAAACGCTGCAGATAAGGTGACTAAATGTGTCATTCAAATAAATGATGTATACATACAGTATGTCATATATTACTTTACACATAAGAAATATCATATTTTTCAATTATTTTCTTAAGATTTCCAAACTTAATACAATAAACTGTGAATTTTTTTCATTATTCTAATTCTGGACATTGTTAGCTAAATAAAATGCGAAAAAAATTATTTGTTCTTTATAAGTTAGAAACTAATTACAAAAAAAAAAAAAAAAAAACAGGTATATGGGGGATATACAATATCGTGGACCTAGACAATATATAGTCAATTCTCTTCCAAAGGATAAAGTACTCAGAAGGAACTCCTGGTGTGGGTTTTAAGATAATTTTATTGATAAATATAGCTAAAATGGGTGTTATATATTACCGATATAGCCCATCTTCGAACTTGACCTCGCTGCAGACCAAAGACTAATCTGACTCTTGCGTGATTACAACAGACTAACAGGGCTAAATCATCTACAGAATTTTGCGCTGATCAAGAATATGTATACTTTATACCCTCCATTGTATGTGTGGTGGAGGGTATAAAAACCGTTATAATTTTTAGGTGCCACAAAATACTTTACACAATCACAGTTTTAATCGGAATAACTGTAAATTCGGTACTTGGAGATCATAATAGATTATATTTCCTATATAACGGAATATTACCAGAATCGGCATTTTCATCATTTCTCAGCTTCTAATGTATTGGAATAAAATTTGGTAGTCACAGCCTATAATGGTTTCTTTCTCCTACATTGACCAAAATCAAATCATGCAAAATTTAGGGTTTTCCGGGCGTTATTAAGTTTGCTACTAATAATTTTATTTTTTCATTTGAACAAAATTCCATATCAGGAATTTGCCTCAAAATTTTTTTTCATAAAAAACTTATCACTGCAATTAGAAACAGCCCAAAAAATTCGAGTCAACTCGGCCCAGCCGTTCTCAATTGACGAGTTACTATACATTTTTTGCGTCCTATTGGTATGTCTTTGTGTATTTGTTTGTGACATGGAGAAAGAAGCGAGATAGAGGCATAGTTACTTTTGAGGATCGTTTTACAACAGACTAATCACTTTCTAAATCGATTTATGCATGTCAGTCCGTCCGTCTGTCCATGTACTTTTGTAAATAAAATGCAGGTCGTATTTATTGTCCGATTGAGATGAAAATTTTCAAACAATATTTGTTTGGCCCAAAGACGAAACCTAATTGGTGAGAATCGATTTAAATTTAGATATAGCTCCTTTATATATTTAACCGATTTCGGGTTAATTGTGCACCAATATCAGTCCAAATGGCCTGAATTTTGGCAATTCCGACTAAATTCATACTAGAAACAAGTACTCCAAATTTGGTGACAATCGGTTCAGCTATAGCTAATTTATCCGATTTGGGGTTTTAAGTAACTCTATAAAATTTTGTCAAGATCCGTTCATAGATATCTTTATCCGGTTTAGGTTTATTGAGCACCAAATGACTGATATCGGCCTAAATGGACTTCGTACTGTACTTGCCTCCGTCAAATTTGTTGGAAATTGACTCAGAGTTGGATATAGTTCTCAAATTCTGACTACTCTAAAGCCATTCAAATAAGGTTCATAGTGGGCATGATCTACTTTACATAAATTCTCAATCGGCTCTATTATGGTTGTCGTCGGCGTTGCAAAATAAGGTCGAGGCGAATATAATTATATTAGGGTTGTCGTTTTTTGTCGGTAGCGACAAATGATTGCTGTTATAATTGTCGACACAACAGTCGACGTGAAGTCGATTTTTAAGAAAATCTGTCTTCATAAAAAGTTGCGACGACATTCGGCCCTATTATAGTTGTCGTCGGCGTCGGAAAATGAAGTCGAGGCGACAATAATGTTATAGGGATTGTTGTTTTCTGTCGATAGCGACAAATGATTGCTATTATAATTGTCGATACAACAGTCGACGTGAAGTCGACTTTTAAGAAAATCTGTCGCCGTAAATAATTTTGACGATATTGAATGTTTAGCAAAAGCCAACTTTTATTTTAAACTGTCGATGTCGCTTCCATGCCTTACCGTAATACCATTTTTGAATCAAAGCGACGGTGAGGGCGACTTGCACCTAAAGTCGACGACGACTTTAGAAACGACAACCGTAATTGGGTCGAATATAAACGTTTTTTTGTTACAGGAGCTCTACTAAATACGCATAGTGGTATAGGGTATCATATAGTCGGCCCCGCCCGACTTTTGACCTTTCCTTACTGCTTTATAAAATTCTGGCTCGAAAATATTCCGCCCAATTACGGTTGTCGTTTCTATAGTCGTTGTCGACTTTATGTGCAAGTCGCCCTCACCGTCGCTTTGATTCAAAAATGGTATTACGGTAAGGCATGGAAGCGACATCGACAGTTTAAAATAAAAGTTGGCAACAATTAAAAAAAAACGTTGGCAACACTCCCTTGTTATTGACAAAATAAGTTTTTTTTTTTTGTATTTTGAATTCTAATTTCGGCTCTTTTGGAAAAATAAAAAATATAGTGAAAAAATGAAGGTTATAAATGCGTTACATTTCTTAAGTTCAAGTGAGGATGATGAGAAGAATGTATTAGTAGTGCAGCGGCGAGTGTTAAGGCAGAAAACAAACATATTTGCATTGCCTGACTCTTGATTGTCCTGTTCCAAAAGTTTATACTTCACTTTCAAGAGTTCAGTAGTTTCTTTTTTTCTTGATGACTTTTAATCATGTTTTTTTTTTCTGGGCGATCGAGAAGCTTGGATAGTAGTTATATCAGTCTCGTCATCAGCATTGTCCACTGGCTAATTTTCATGATCTATAACGTCTGTTACAACTATGTTTTCCGTATTTTTTACTCCAAGTGCACGACCTGGTGGATTCAGTAACTTTTGAAACTGTATTACATTCGCGAAGAATTCAACCCAAAGCGACCACGTCCAGTTCTGCTGGCTTCACCCTTACTGTGCAAAATTGTTTTTTAGTTTTAAATTTTAATCTTTACCTAGAAGAACTTTAGAAAACTAACTAATAAAATAATAGAAAAATATTTTAATTTTAACATACTTTTTATCAGCCATCGGATTCTCTAATCGGTGACCCCCCGTTTACATTTAATTTGGTAGAAATGGATTCCAATCTGATTTAGTTGGAAAATGACTTTTGGTATACCCTTTTTGCCAAACATGTTTTTTTTTTCAATTCGGAAACCAACATTTCAAATTGTTTTGCTTTTGTTATTTTCATGGTCAAATACAAAAAAGTTACAATATCAAAGTCGACTAAAAAATACAATGTCGTCACAATTTTTTACGGCGACAGATTTTCTTAAAAATCGCCTTCACGTCGACTGTTGTATCGACAATTATAATAGCAATCATTTGTCGCTATCGACAAAAAACGCCAACTCTAATATCATTATTGTCGCCTCGACTTCATTTTGCGACGCCGACGACAACCATAATAGGGCCGATTATTTTATTGTAATTAAAAGTTCCCATCTGTGGCATTGAGCGAAGAGCACATTATCTCTCCAATATTTGACTCTTTCAAATGAGAGCAATAAATTCAACTCTCAATTGGAAGCGTTGCCATATTCTTCATATAATTTGTTATTGTCATAAAATCCCTTGGACATATTTTACAAAATAGGTTGCATTCTTCATGAACTCAATTTATGTATTAAGTATATTAAAAAATTATTCAGGTTCGACTAATTTTTTAATATACTTATTTTTTAATATACTTAATTAAAAATATTAAATAATTAAGATTTTATTTAAATTTACTTTTGGTTATAATATTCAAATCAATAATTTGAAATTTCCAGATGCAATGAAGAACTTTGTAACCCTTTCAATAAATTAATTTGAATAATTCTAGTAAATGATTTTGAAATTAAATGAACGGCAAATGCAAATTGTATTTCTTAATTACAATTTTATATTTAACTTTTCCATTTACAATATATCCAAATATAAAAAATTTCCAATGTGTATATAACTGGCAAAATCAACTTTCTCAAAACTTTGAAACATGACCGGCAAAATACACCGCTGTCTTGCTGCGTATGGCAAATACGAAGGGATGATCTGCATTGAAGGACTTTTGATTTAAGTTCAGGCTCATCAGTACAATTTTCATATCTAAAAGAAAATACAACAACAAAGGAAATATTAAAATTCAGTTATGAGGGAATTTTTACAATTAACTTACATGAAGCGGCCGCTGCCTCGGAACCGGCTTCGTTGACATCTAAGAAGGCCTTGTGTTTAACATCCGAGACTTTTTGTGATGCAGGTGCATTAGCAAATAATTGATTGAAATTAGCCGCATCCGAGAACATTGTGTTCAGACCCATCTTAAAATAACAAGGAAACCAACAACAATTAACAACTTTTGAATTTACAACAACAATGTATAATGTTACCTTCATCAAGGGTTCCTTCAAATCAATATCAAATTCAATGCGGAATTTCGGTAGAAATACATCTACATCATGTGTTTTCAACTGCGAGGAAATTTCATTCAGATCGACGCCTTTCAATTTCTCTTCC